CCGCCCGCCTGGCCTAGGCTTCGGCCCCAGCCGCTGCGCCTGGGGACCCCGGCGGCGCTCGGTTCGGATTCGGCGTGCGCGGTCGCGGCTGCCGCGCCTCCTCTGGCCTCCCAGCCCCGGGGTGGTGGGATGTCTCCGCTTTTCCTTCACTGTCTCGGGCTCCCCTGGGTGGGCGGTGGAGGAGGGCCAGGACTTTGGCATCCAACTAGACGCGTGAACCAAAAAAATTACATTCTGATACTCAGAAAGCTCAAATACAAGCCGTTCCCACCAGCGGGCGCGGGCGCAAAAGAAATTTCACTCTCCCAAAATGCTAGCGCCCAGCCTCTCAGCAAGGCACCCACGTTACCAGAGAGGGCATGCGCTGCCCTAGTCTCCACCTCGCAGCGCCCAGGATGCGCCTGCCACAGCCAGGAGCTGAGGTTAGATCTCCTGACGTTCAGCCTTGTGCCGTGCCTAGGAAAGCGTCCTGTTTCTGTTTTAAAAATGTGGGATTTGTGTGGTCCTTCTGATACAGCCATGTCACTTTTTCTTTTTCCCATGCGCCAGACTGTTGCTCAGCCAGCCTATTCAGCCCATGATGCCTGGGTCCTGTAACGCAAGACACCCTTCAGACCTCAGCATGGCGGGATCCCAGGCTAAGTACGTGACTTGTCAAAGATAAAACATCGAAGTTGCTTTTGAGGGGAAATAGCCTTCTTTAGTCAGACAACAAAGTAGTTATAAATATCGGGAACGTGTTATTGTGCCAAGCCTGCCTTCCAGGGTCAGGGTCAGCCTTACCCTGCCTGGTCACATCAGGAAGGATGACAGAGAGAAACACAATGTGCCAGTGGCGTTTTAACAAGCCAAGGCTGGGGGAATTTTTCTCCCTCACATGATGCTTGCTTCACTGCTGGAACTTCTGACCCACCAAGGTAAATGTGAGAGAGAAAGTCAGCACTGGCCCGGTTGAAACGACCGGCGCCAAGAAAGCCCCTGCTCCCTGGGCAGTGAGACGCTGGTGTAACGCCAGTGGAGCTATGCCTAATCCACACCAGCAGAACTGAAAGAACCAACAGGCCCCTGCACCTGAGCGCTCTCGGAAAAGCTGCTGAACAAACCCCCTCAGTTGTTTGTCTCCAAACTCGGTTCAAGGAAGCAGAAAACCGGTCCAACGCACCTGAGCGCTCTCGGAAAAGCTGCTGAACAAACCCCCTCAGTTGTTTGTCTCCAAACTCGGTTCAAGGAAGCAGAAAACATCGGTCAGAATATGCCTTTTTTTTTTTTTCTTAGCTGTTTTTTGTCACTACTTAACTGTGAACTGCTAAAATAATAGGCAACTGTTTGCACATCATTACTTCAAAAGTAATTCTGTATGTTACCTCAGGAATGTAGGTATTCAGTACTTCTTTTTTTAAACACCACTATTGCTGTTTAAGATTATCTTGAGTTAAATTTGTCATCTTTAAATACACAGCATTTCAGATCTGCTTTTAAGCATCTAAATAAAAGAGGCCTGATTTCCAAAGATACATCTCCCAGTCCATGCAGACTTCCTGACTCACAGGACCCTTCTTTAGGAGCTCACATCCTCATACAAGTACTAAAACTGTAGCATTTCTGACTAACCCCTAATGTTGAACAGCTGTTGAGCGAACACACACCACACTATGGTCTCATCACCCATTACGGGATAAACAGAATTAGGCTGGGCTGGCAATAGCTCCATTGTGGTTTTGCCCACAGCCTTCCACAAAACAACACATATTTAAGTTTTGCTATGCAAAAGCAGACTGGCAAAGAGGAGCCGAGTATTTTGTTTCTGTCCCATCCCTCACTCCAGAGGACTTACAGAGGCTTCTTCTGCTCCTACAACGTGGCTCACAGCGATGGGAACTGCTGACCGTGCTTGGCAATATGTATACGAGCAGCTTAAGAAGTAATCAACCCTAGCCATCTTTCTGCAAGAGATTACCGCCCCACGGGCAGTGGCAGGGGGGCACAGGCAGCAGAATGGGAGGAGTATTTACTTCTCCCTTGCTGCAGTTCAGGGCTCAGCATATTAATACAGAATCAAAGGCCATTCGGTTTAATGAGCCTGGGATGTGAACACTGTGGCTGAAGAGAAGATATGCATAAACAAGAATCTTTAATGAATCTAAAATGTGGTCTGGATTCTGAGGTGAGATGTATTCTGCCCTCCAAGTCCAGCTCATGCACAGAGTAGGGGAAAACGGTGCTGCCAACAGGGCCATCATTCGTATTAGCAGGTCCCATGCGCTGGAATCCTTTATTAGGAATTATTTATGAAGACTAGGGACTTCCATCCCCATCCTAAGAGACCTTTGCTTCCAGCAGTTTGTTCTTGATTGTTTTGCTTCTTTCTTCCACAGGTATTCTCAAACCCAACAAATGTTTCAAAGCTTGGAAGTGCAGACTTCCAGCAGCAGCTCTCCAATCGTACTGATGGGACAAGCAGTGTTAAACCAAGGGTTCGCCACTACACCTCCTTCCCAGCCATCCTCTCTGCCACCTATGCAACTCCAGCACCAACAGCATCAGCAACAACGCTACCTGCAGGTAGGGTAGGACAAAGAGGACGATGTATAAAATGCACACGCAGAGTAATAAGGTGAACGGGCTGTGCAAACGGGGCCCCAGGTTTCAGCGGGAGCCTGATCATGGCGGAAATGGCCGTTTTAGAGACGCTGAAATGTGCGAGACACTGACACAGTGTCGTGTACCCTTCCAGTGTAGCAAGGCAGCAGTGAGAACAGTCAGAATATTTAAAAGGAAATTACTAATTCTGTACCCTGGAAACATAATCAGATTATCCTGGATATCTGTAAAGTGTATTTCTAGATGGAGAAAATTGCTGCCTTAGGATTTATTCTGTACTCTTTATTCAGAATAAAATTTGCTTAGTTTACAAGTCAAAAGATGATTTTTAGTTACCAGCATCGACATAAGATGAGATCTGGATCAGATATCTGGATCCCTTCAGTAAATTAACATATTTTCTCAACTCCACAAGGCAAGAAGATAAACTGGAGCACATTGCCTGGAAGAACCAGGTGATTTGAAGATGTAAAAATACTTATTTTTTGACCTAATTCAACACATACCAAAGTAAAGGGCAAGGGGGGAAATGAGGTGTCTCTGTATTAACTCAAAAGGAGCTGAACTGAGTCTATAAAACCTGATCACGTATCCACTGGCATCACTGAAAGAGTATCATCAACCTGAAATGATTGAACTCTTGTTACTGAATGAAATCCTTATCATAGCTGAGAATTAATGAAAAAACTATGGCAGATACCACTCCCAATAAAAGCATCTGCAAAATTCACATCGACTTCACCACCGCAAGGTTATACCCTACTGTAAACTCACAAAAAGGAAGGGCTAGAAGGGACAGCATGAGGTACACTAGGATCCCCTGTTTCATTTCTGTTCCATTTCTATCATCCATCTGTGTCATTTCTGACACGTTCACCCACCCTGTTCCTAAACAGGCTTTTCAGGATAACCTGCAAATCCTAGGCAGTGCACTCCTATTAGAAAACCTTTCTCAATGACTAACTGTAATGTTCTTTGTTGCAATTTATGTCCATTCCTTCTAGAATTAGGTAAGCCAACCCCATGCCAAACAGCCCCAGAAATAAAAGCCAGCAAACTAGTAGTATTTTTAAGCTCCCTGTACATTGAGGACGAAGAGCTTTAACATGTGAAAGAATCGAACACCACGATGAATTTTATTTTATCTGTAGGTGCAAACACCAAGTTCTTTGCACAATGAGCAACCCGATTCTTTGCTCCTGCCATCTTACTCGCCACAGCAAGGAAATATGGGGTATCATCAGACACAGCAGCAGCAGCAGCAGCAGCAGCAGCAGCAACTAACATCAAGAAGAAGCAATAGCTTATCAGAATCATCAAATTTACCACAGCCACTGCGATAGAGTCCCACCAGCACAATCAATGCACGATTAGCTTTAACCAATGGGCACGTGGGGCAGAAGAGAATGACTTTGTACTTACTGTTTTGGCTTTTGCACAAGCATTTCTTTCAAAGCTCTATGACAGAAGTACGCCCCAGAGTGCAGACTGCCACAGACAGTGCATTTACGGCATGCTGGATTCAGTTTGCGCTGTCTCGTGAGCACAGTACGTACTGACAGAGCAAAATAAAAAGGAACACTATCCTGCGCAGCCTCCATCATCAATGGGTGGGCAGGAGGAGGCGTTCAATCTTGGCGCGTCACTCTGAAAGCTATCTGGCAATTCCAAAAGACTGTCGACAGACTCATGAGGTACTTGGCCTTCACTGTTTCAGTTCTTCTTTTGTGTATGAAAAGCACTGCGTCAAAGGTCTATTGAGGAGAGAACAAGAGATTATTTTTATTATGATTATTGTTATTATTTTGCACAACTGCACAGAGGACAAAACCTAGGCACTTTCTGTAAAGAGAAGTTGGTTTCCTTATTCTTGTGGCCAAATTAGCACATCCAATGGAGGAGAAAGCCCAGCCATTGGTGAAGATGGTCTACAGCTCATAACCCTTGATTTAGCATCTGAAAAGTATTATGCAGCTTACCCTAACTGTTCTTCATTACTAAAAAACAAAGAAAGAAACCCCCACAACCCACACTGGACTGTTTTCTATACGAATTGTGGTTGCAAAGGAGAACTCAAATTGTAAGCACAATCATGCAACTCTCCAATAGTACAACACGGATCCTTCTTCAAACTAAACAACTCACCCGCTACAAGTCTCTGAGAAATATGCACTGTGTTTTGGCCCACTGACTCGGGATGCTGCAGACTATTACATATCTCTTTCATTATAACATTTAGGATTGAATTTTCCTTTGGGGGGAAAAAAAAGAAATGCACTTTTCGCTTTTTTTGTATGTTTTCTGTTGATATGTTCCTAAGAAAGATTTTATGTAATTATTAAATAAAAAGTAGTGTATTGTACAGCTGTTGTAATAATGACCTATTTCTATATAAAATAAAATTATATGGAATTATGTGGAAATTATTTTGTATATGAAATATCAACTCATTTCACAAGTATAAAGATTGTGCTTGTGCTTTTTTGTGGGTGGATATTTTGTAATAAACTAATGAATTAGAAATGTTTTTGTGAAGGGAACTGCTGTTTCATGCTATATACAACTCAAACTATTATTTTTTTCCATTTAATGATGGACAGTTGTCTTTATTTGTAGAATAAAATAAAATAGCCAAAAGGCTTTATTGCAGGACTTGCACACATTTTCCTGTGGCTGGTCAACTATGTGATTCACTTGAGGTTGTTAATATTAGCTGTAGCCTGGCAAGGTGTTTGGCACCCAGTTAGCAAAAACAAGTAGTATCCTATGGGATCTTTGTCATGGCATAGATGAGAATGATAGCTCAGGAAGTTATATTAGCTGCTAGCCAAGACAGCTCGTTTTAAGCTCCTTTAAAACTTTAAAGAATTCAGGCAGCTCCGTACTTCCAACCAACCAGTTTTAGATTAGGACTATTTTAGGATTTATATGGTTTAAAGACTGGTTTGACCCAGCACGTACCAGGGCTTTGACCCACGTCCAGCTTCAGTGTTTTAAGACATCGCTGTCCTGAGTTTTGTGATACATCTCTGCTGGAATTGCTACCATGCCCACACCGTAGACAGTCTAGTTTCCACTTTGGTGTCCTTGCGTAGACTCTTTTTCATGTTAAATTCAAATTGACTACAGGATGGAGCAGACGAGGTACAGGTCTGCTGCAGGAGCAACAACCTCCAACACAGAATGAGGTGGATAACTGAGCATAGTAATGTTTTCATTCACCACGGCAAGACTGAAAGGGGATGGCCCTCAGGGCAGCTTGCAGCCACCCAAGCCAGCATTAGCTTCAACAGAGTGCAGACCATGCTGCCCTTCCCGCTCTTCAGTACCAAGGATCATGTCACAGGGGCCCACATGTTCAGCTCTGGTTTCTATGCCATGGGGGAACAACGGAGATAATTGGGCTGGGAGCTGGAAAGGCTAAAAGTAAACTTTCAGAAAAAAAAAAAGGTTCATTTGCCCCGAGTTCTGAAAAACCTTCTAAAAAAGCTAAAAATCTCCTGGAGAAAACCCACTGGCAGAACGGCCCTGCTGCTTGCACAGCAAGACTGGCTGGTAGGACTGATTGGTGCATGCGTATTTCAGTCCATACACTCCCTTTGTTTTACTTCATTGAAGGAAGATGAGGGAATCAAGTATCTGGTCTCTAAAAAGTGTTTAGAGATCAGATCTGGTCTCTAAGAAAGTGGTTTTACTGCTAACTCTAGGCACCAGTCTGAGTTAGCCTGCTCATCTCTTTAAATTCTCGCATTCAGTGAAGCAAGAGTGACCCCACCAGATGAAGATTAAAGAGCTAAACGCTAAGGTGCTTTCACCTGATGTCTGAAGGAACCTCTCTTTCCATTAACTATAGAAAAACCTTAGCAAAGGCCAGTCAGCTAAGTTAGAGGCTAACTTCATAAATGCCATCCACTCCTGTAAGGGCTTATTCTGGGAAAGGAGAGGGGAAATTTGTCCGCTTATAGGCCAAAAAGTTCATGCAGCAAAGAGGTAATGAAGGAACACGAGCACCCCAGAGGAAATACCTGTGGAAGCAGAGCACTTGATGGATCTCAACTACTATGGTGGAAGTCACAGGAAGAGAAAATTCCTTTAAGAATTTGTTTCACTCTCAGGGATAGTTATAATATGCCCACATCTCTCCTGATTGCCGGTGGGTACGTCCAAACCAAGCTCAGCCTCGGAGCAAACACTTATCTTTCCCAAACCAGCAATACTCTAAGTTGTTAACAGGGAGAAGCTGTAAATAGGGTGGTGTTGCCCTGGCTATTTAACTATTTAACTAAATTAATATTTATTATATTGTTTGGAAAAAATAGAGCACTTGCAAGAACAGATTTACGTCAATACCTAGTTTTTCATGCTGTGTCTCATTTCTCCCCTGTACACTCATTCTGGTTTTGGATTACTGCACTTGTTCCCTGTTGCACGCACAATGGGATGCCAGTCCTCTTCATAGAGCTGGGCTGTTGTTCTAGTTCACTATAGCCGAGATCTGTCTTGTTTGTAGAATCACAGAATACTTAGAATACTTTGGGTTGGAAGGGACCTCTAAAGGTCATCTAGTCCAGCCCCCCTGCCATGGGCAAGGACATCTTCAACTAGATCAGGTTGCTCAGAGCCCCGTCCAACCTGACCTGGAATGTTTCCAGGGATGGG